GCGCGAGCCCTGCCTGCCGCCGGCGCCGGGCGCTCTGCGCCGCGCGGCTTGTGTTTCTTCGGAGATAAAAAAATGTTTTTTTAGTGCTTTATCTGCCACTAAATCGATTCTTTTCTTCATCTGAGGGACGGCGAAAGGGTATATTTTCGCCCAGCAGTGTCTTGTCTCGAAGGCAGTTTTTTTTGTTCAGATAGGGGTCAACAAACTCAGTGTGCTGGAACCAAACAGACCTTCTGAGAGCGAAAGTTTTGTTTTTCTTTGTAAATTAGAAATTCTCCTTTAATGTTTATGCCAGTTAGGTACCTTAGTGCTAATCTTCAGAGGGTCTTATTCACATCAGAGAAGAAAGCGAGCATTTAGAAGCTATTCTTCCAAAATAAATGGGTTTCAAAGAGGCGGAGGTAGCACAAACTCCCTCGAGCCGCGCCTCAGCTCCGCTTGCCGAGCTCTGTACCTCCGACTACCACGAAATCCCGAATTGGTGATTTTTTTCCATAGTTCTAAATCTAAGATTTCCAGAGGGTCTGCATGAAATGGTAGGCACCATATACTTTATTTGTATCAGAATTACATACTTCTTGTGTCTTTCTTTGCTGTGATTAAAATAGCAAACTTTTTTTTTCAATGTTAATGTTATGACCACATGTGCTATGACCAAATATGAAAAAATACTGTCCCATCGCTGAGCTGTATGTAAATCTCTTTCAAGCAGAAATAAATCACATACATATGTATTTATTATTAGTTCTGTAAAATCTGTAGGAATAATTTAGGAACAGGGAAAAATGTAGGAAAATCTGTAGGAAATCTGAAAATACCACTATATTCATATTTTGAATCAAAGTTATGGAAGAAAGTTATGATTTTTGATTAGTGTTCCTAAGTGCCATATTACAGCTCAAGTCACAGCAGCTTCTATACATAAAAGCTTGTTTACAGTATTCAGTAGTAAATGGTCCAAACCTGTTTATCCAAACTGTCCTGATTACACTGTTAACATCCATCTCCTTATTAACTAAAACTTTGTATTTGTTTTTGTGCATCTCAGTGGAGTTTCTTATTCACTAAACTTGAAGTTTGTCTATTAACAGCAAAGGCCCTGTTCAGTACCATCATAATCATATTTCTGCTCCCGTATCTAACATATACAAACTCTACTTGTACAGTTTCCATATAATTGCTGAGCAGCCAACCTCACTCTTTCAACAAAACAAGATCCCTGAGTGAAAAAATAAATAAATAAATAAATAAAAGCCCACCTCCTCATTCTGTTCCCATTTCACTACTGGCAAGGCAGATGAACTTTTTAAAAATTTGGGTCACTCTTCATCTTCAATTAATTCAAAATAGTCCATGATTACAAACATTGCATATGCAGGTTAACCTTTTCTTCTATTCTTAGATTATAAAGTATGTAGGGACAAATATTCTCCTCTCAAGGCACAGAATAACTATTTTCCACTAAATAATTATTTTCCCCGTTCTCTGCAACTCTTATTTTGGAGTTGATAGTGCCGCACAATAGCACACTTTCCCCAATATGTAATTTGGTATTCCCAAGATTGTTCTCATCTGAGCATAAAATATCTTTCACACACCTAGTCAGATGGAGTACATCTGTATGTCTAAACCATATATAGCACTGCAACACCAACCCTCTCCAGGGCAACACTGAAGCTCGTTGTTTTAGTCCTTTCTTACTACACTTTTGAGATTACTGATTGCTGCCAGATATTAAATATCCATTTTGCAACTTGAAGCCTGCTCTGTAATTATTAAATGCATCTTGTTATTCGTGTTTTTGTTGTTGTTGTTTTGTTTTAGGTTTCCACTTACGTATTTGCTCCATTATTCCTTTTCCCTATTGTTAATAAGACAAGGAGAGCTGGCTACAGTGCTGCCCCATTCAGCAGCACATACACAAGGACAGTGGCCTCTCCCCCACGCAGCTACACCTGACCATATGAACAGCAACTCTGGAGTTATGCACCAGAGGTTACTGCTCGTGATCAAGCCTAATTAGGATATGCAGAAGTAGCACACATTTCCCTGCAATGCAGACACACACAAAAAAAGTGCGGACACAGAGGACAGTTGCTAAGAGAGATTCTCTCTCCCTTTTATATATTTGCAATCCCAGTTACAGCAAGCTTTGCTGCCTCTCACTAAAGGCGATGGCATCATAAAGATGCTCAGTGTTGCCCATCTTTGAATGCTGTGTCCATGTGGTCGGACACATCTGAAACGGTAACGACAAAGTTCTGATAAACTACACAGAACATTTTTGCGGTCAGTGTGAGACAGCTCAAAATGCAGATCCAGAACAGTAAGCCTCTTTATTTCACTTCCCAACCATCATGAAAAATATAGATTGTTATGCTAATAATATATGACTTTTCATTTAAAAAAATGCACTAATTCAAACCAGACAGTGCCTGTAGGACAATAGGTCATTGTTGTAGGAATGAGGTAATTTTCCATTTTTTTGCATGTCCTTTTTATGACACTTAACCTTGTGCTAGGTGCTAAAGCATACTGCCCATTGTCAGTAACATGACAAGTCCCAGCAAAGATCACTTTAAGTAGGTTCAGTGTTTAGTTGTGCAGTAATTGCTTGGTCCCTTCTCTTCCCTATGACTTTTCTACCAGCCAATAGTATTTAAATGCATTGCATTTATATATTTCATGTTACCTGTCCTTCCCAAAACAAGCACCCCCACACACACCATTTCAGATCTGGAAGAACTGTGAGCTACCTGTTAACATTTCTTAAAAAATGGAGTTACTTGGATTTCCCTATTTTCATCTGGTTCAGATTTTCCACTCTCCTCTTGTTGAGGCCCAGCTCTACATGTTAACACTCACCATTTCCTGTCAGGAGAAAAACAGTTCAGAGACTATTCGTTTGATTTTATAGGGAAAAACAAAGAAACAAACAAAAAAACAGTCAGTATGCAACAAGTTTGTCTGCTGATTTTAACTTCTGATTTGTTACAAACCTCAAATCCTTCCTCACACATGCACACCACTAAGAGGGGAGTTAGAATAATGAACTAATCTTACCTTAGCAGCTCCTCTGTCTACTAAGATAAAAGGAGCATGGCAAAGGGGGGGATTCTGAGAAAAAAAAATCGGTGGCACTTTGGATCTGACGTGCTAACTTCCATTTTGTTTCTTAGCATGCGTGATAGTTTTGTATGCAGGTAGAACATGTATTTGCAACTTCACCCCATTGCTGCTGATGCAAAAGAAGATAAACTTGTTTATACATGGTAATAGAAAACTTAATTATAGGAAGTACAGGAGGTGAAAAACAAACATACAGACAATCATAAAAGCCATTGTGTCAATAGGGAGGTTTTAAGCTCAAAATGGCACAGGTGAATCTTTTCTTACTGTTACAGTGTTAGAAGCACTTAAACCTGATCTGAGGTGTCAAGTTGTTATAAAAAGAGTAAAAAAGTATCAAACATCTAACTAAAAGCCTGTTTTTCTGTTCCTTGAGTTAAAAAATAAAATAAAATAACAATAATAAAAAGAAGTAAATTGAATGAGGAAGGAAAAGTGTAAAATGAATACAACAAATTCCAGATATAGGTCTTATTTAATGGGAAAATACTCCAGGTTAGTTACAAGGAAGTAATGTACTAGCATACATACTAGTGAATAACTTTATTCACTTTTGAGGGACCTTTTGTGAAATTCAGTTTAGTCCTCCTTTGAACTTGGTTAAAATAAACATGTAGATTTATTCAAGTGTGGAAATAACTCGAACCTCTTCCTAAACACAAGTTACTGGCCCAGCAGATCAGTGCTGTGATGAGTTTACAGCCTCTCAAGGCAGAAGGGAGAAGAATCTGCTCCTCCACCCCCTTCCTCTGATGCCCAAGGGCAAGGACTCAAGGTGACTCTCCCTGCACTCTTCCAGAAGGCCGCTGGGATGCGGAGTTTGCAAAGGAAAGTAGTAGTTTGCCACAGATGTCCAGCAGCTAAAATGCTGTCCTGAGCTAAGTGCTGGCCTGACTGCACATGGAGAAATAGAGGAGTTGTGTGGAACTGCAGCCGCAGAAGTCTTCAGAGAAGAGGTGGAGCAGGGATACTTCTAGTAGGCTGTTTTGCCACCTCTTTGAACATGTGTAAAGTGTGTCAGGTGTGTCACGTCCAAGATTTGGGACCCTGATTATATCAATGTCTCTTGTTTCTTTTCCGCTAGATTCATCTTCCACTAATTAACACTTGAACTAATGAATAATTTCTAAGCGGTTTAAAAAATGACCTGCATGAACAATATTCTTTTCTTATTGCTGGCATACATTCAAATGAGAAACTCCTGTGACAGCTTTCCTATAACCTGCACATTTGGAAAAAGTACAAGTTCTGCTCAAGGGCTCTATCTGAGAAAGATGCCTCCTGATGTCCTTCTTTTTCAAGAAATACAAAAATAAGAATGTTGTGACTTTGATGTTTCGAACAGTATTCCTCTCTTCCTGCTACCTAGAATCACAAGCATAACCATTTAGAAGTGAGAAAGTCTCAACTGCCAATCTTGAAGGAGCCCGGAACAAAGGAATTTAAAATCATGGCCTGTTTAGTCCTACAAAAGCTGTGCTGGGTCACGGGATACAGCCTGAGGGAGCAAACACTCTGCCTAAACTAAGGTCACCTAGCTTCACCATTTTGGTTTGCCC